AGATATTCGGCGAGTCGCATGAAGGGTGCGCTGCATCCCGCTAAGGGTGTTCGGCATGTTGTGCTTACTTCGTTGCTACGGATGACAGCTGCGTATGACATAATATATTTTTCTGGTGCTTTCACTTCCAGAGACAGTTGGAAGCTTTTCGTAACTGCCTCGAGGGTGCTTGACCATGTTAACACGATGTAGTGCGATCATCCCTCTTGCGCGGAGCGAGGGTTATCCACCCCGCACAACATGATCTACTCGACCACCACTATGGTTACCGCAACAAAAAAAAAACGGAGGTAAAAAAAAAACAAACGGTAACCTGGTTGCCGAGTTCACGAAGTGAATTGGCTTGTTTTACAACGTCATTGCCAAGCGACGAAAACCCAACCCCGATGGCAAACACCGGGGGGGGGGGCTTGTTTTACAACGTCGTTGCCAAGCGACGAAAACCCAACCCCGATGGCAAACACCGGGGGGGAGGGGGTGGGGGGGGGTACTCATTGTCGTGCATGCCGTAGTCGTTAGATCATTGACCTCGCATCCCTACAAAGCCGGGGCGGAGTACGCCGGGTTCTCACCGGACCAGGCTCTCACATCACCAAGCGCGAAGCGCCGTGAGATATTCGGCGTGTCGAACGAAGGGTGCGCTGCATCCTACTAAGGGTGCTCGGCATCTTGTGCTTTCTTCCTTGCATATGGATGACAGCTGCATGTGACATAATTTTTTCCTGGTGCTTTCACTTCCAGAGACAGTTGTGAGCATTGTGTAACTGATTCGAGGGTGCTTGACCAATTTAACACGACGTGGTGCTATAATCCCCTTAGCGCGGAGTGAATGTTTTCAACCCGCACAACATGATCTACTAAAGTCCATCACCACCATCATGGTTCCCTCCAAAAAGAAATTATAGGCAAAAAAACGGTACCCCGGTGGTCGGGGGGGCGGGAGGGCGTTGGTGTCACAGCCGCGGGCATGCCATGCCCTGGCGCATGCCTTCCGGCGTTCCAACAGGCAGCTGGCGCTGGCGCCACCGGCGGAGGAGGGGGGGCGTGGAGGCTTCCCCCCCTGACCGACGCACCTCGTGGCCGGGTGGGTAGATCTCTCATCCACGGCGCTTTCGGCGCTACAACGTTGGTGGCACCCGAGAGTTTCCGGCATTCAAAACTGAAAGCAGAAATATTTCGTTCCATCGGCAACCGCGGCCAGCGTCTGCCTTCGATGCCCCATGATGGGGCTTTCTTGGACGAGGTGCAATCGCCTACGCGTGTAAGGCCCCAAGGGCAGGCTAAGAGGCACACCTCTACGGCGCAGAGAAACCGCCGTGGTGGAGAACAGCATGTAGTCCAAGGAGGTGCTACTGGCTCTTGGGGGGCCTAGCCTGTGTCGGTAGCCGTGATGGGGCTGCGTTGGCGTTTCTGTTTCTGTTAACGTTGGAGTGTGATTTGTGTTGGCGGGGAGAAACGTGAAGGCCGCAGCGAGCATTTTTTGTGGCAGAAGAGATTATTTCGAAACTTCCGCGGGTAGTGGATGGGGGATACAGCGAATCAATTGGGGCGAAAAAAGGAGATAGTAGAATCGTGGCGGGAACCGTGGCGGGAACCTTTCTTTGAGTTATCACACTGCTGCATGTAGTTGCGTTTGACTTTGTGTGCATAGGACCGATGTCGATGAGCGAGTGTTGCCACCGTGTCTCGTACGATACGGTTTGTCCGGCTTGGTGGTAGACAACACCGGATGGAAGGCAATGACAGGACAAGACCACAGATCATCTATCTGAGATATTTCCGATTGTTAAGGAAGGCCCTAGCCGATGTCGACAAGGTGTGTGGGCGCCCAAGCTCCTACTACGCGGATCTCGGGGATAAAGCAACAGGTGGGACCCTGCTGTGGGTTAGACTTTCCCCACTCTCATCCCACTGTTCATCTACCTCTCTCTGTACAATTTCTCTTTCTCTCCCGCTCTCTCTCTCACACACACCATGAAACACACCATGAAAGAGCATTTGTAGGTGGTAGACTTCGTGCTATTTTGGTGTATGTCCCTACGGCTGCATCAGCACCAATGCCATGTGCACGAAAGCTCCAACCCTAACCGCTTTTCTTCATGACACCTCTCTGCTCCACCCATGGTTGTCAGCCTGCGTGCTTCCACGTGAGACCCCGACCTCCAAGCCCCTAACGGCGTCACCAGAGACCGTCGAGGTTCCGGAGGCCCTGGTTTTGGCTGTGCGTAGCGCCATTCGCAGTGGGCCGAGCATAAACCCGAAGAAAATGATGGACTGGGAAGAGAATGCCTACCTCGCCCGTCGCGATTTGGAGGCGATAGCGGATGAAGACCGCGCGTGAGGGGCCGGCGTCACCACGCCGGCCGAAGGAAGAGCAAGCATTGCGTCCCCCGGGCGGTGGAGCTGATGGTCGCCGAGCGCTTCAGGGAGCGCCTTGCCGCGAGCAGGACGCAGTTGTCTAGGACGGAGCTCGACGCCCTGGTTGGTTTTAGGTCATGAAATGTGCAAGTGTTCCTCTGTTGGTCGTGAACGCCCGACAAAGTACAGCCCCCCCCCCCCCCCCCCCCCCCCCCCCCCCCCCCCCCCCCCCCCCCCCCCCCCCCCCCCCCCCCCCCCCCCCCCCCCCCCCCCCCCCCCCCCCCCTACTGTGGTTCCCCTCATCACAAAGGGGTTCAATGATATGCCTTTGAATAGCCCGATTTTCTTCATGTTGGCGATGCATCGATGACACCAGTACGTTCCTCCCACAAATACGTGTGCGCTCTAAGGACATCAGCGGGTAGTACGTTTCCGTTCCAGCACGACAATATACTTTCGTGGGGACGTCCGCTTCCGCTCAATGTCACATTATTGCCGTCTAACGATCGCCCCTCCCGCCCCCCCCTCGACTCGCCCTGTTCGAAACACCCTGAACGTCAAATATCAGAAAACCTGGACACCAACTACTTTGGACAGGTCATGGCCAAGTACCCGCAGATCCTCGCCGTGTGTGACCGGCTCCTGCCCGAAGACGTGCAACGGGAGAGCAGCGGGGTGGAGGGGGCGGCCGCCGGCCCTACAGGCGCCAAGGGAGCCGCTGCTGACGCGAAGAGGAGATAGGACTCCAAACGCAGAGCGAGGGAGGACAACGCCCACCTCAAGGCCAAGAAAAGTCAGTCTAAAAACTCCGTCAGCGTGCAAGAGACGGTCGCGGTTGCCATGCACTCAGTGGCGTCTGGCCCTGGACTGCCCCCCGGCGGATAAAGCGAGCTATTTCGGCCAGCGTCCGAACCCGCCCCCGCCGCAGAACCTTCCCCGCAGAACATCGTAGATGAAAAGACCGCAAAATTGAGGTTTTNGTCAGTCTAAAAACTCCGTCAGCGTGCAAGAGACGGTCGCGGTTGCCATGCACTCAGTGGCGTCTGGCCCTGGACTGCCCCCCGGCGGATAAAGCGAGCTATTTCGGCCAGCGTCCGAACCCGCCCCCGCCGCAGAACCTTCCCCGCAGAACATCGTAGATGAAAAGACCGCAAAATTGAGGTTTTTCGACACATTGTTCGAATCTTTCCAAGCCGCCACGAAAAATCTCAAACAAGCCAAAGCAGAGGCGGCAGGCGGCGACAGCGCGGCGCTAGAAATGGTCGGNATGAAAAGACCGCAAAATTGAGGTTTTTCGACACATTGTTCGAATCTTTCCAAGCCGCCACGAAAAATCTCAAGCAAGTCAAAGCAGAGGCGGCAGGCGGCGACAGAACGGCGCTGGTAATGGTCGGTTTCTGGAAAAAAATATTGCGAAGATTAGAACCGAGATGGCTGAATGGGACAAGAGTCCCCTTTGAGGGACAGCCCGCGGTCCATCCCCGATTCCACCTGTGCAAGGCCGATCGATTGTGTTGTAGTGGCGGTTGGTGTAACATCTTTCGTGTGTGGGCGGGGGAAGGAGAGGGCAGATCACTTTCACTTGCCGTACCGTTTGTCTTTTGTCGGGTGGGCGTTTGACGAGTGCACCACGTGTAGAACACGCATGGAGAACGCGTAGCGCACGCTTGAAGTTTGATGTTTTTTTCGCCACGTACAGCAGTACCACTTGTTTTTGTTGTGTGTGTATTTCATAAACCACCGCGTGCATTCGTAGATGACTAGGCGGACGCTCACGCAGAGCGAACGTGTGGCGCACAACCAAAGTTTGTTTTTTTTAGACACGTACAGCAGTGCCACTCGTCTTCTTTTTTTTTGTGGTGATTCATTACAGATGACCAGGGGGGGAAAATACGCAGAGAGAACTTGTGGCGCACGACCAAACAAAGTTCTTTTTTTTTTGCCACGTACAGCAGTACCAATTGTTTTTTTTCTGTGGTGTTTCTTTACAGATGCCTAGGGGGGGGAAGCACGCAGAGAGACCGTGTGGCGCACGACCAAAGTTCGTTTATTTTTAGCCACGAACAGAAGTACCTCTTGTTTGTTTTTGGTCGGTATGTTTTTCACCAACCACCGTCTGCATTCCATTCATCGATGCTTCGGAAACAACGTCTCCTCACGACGCGAACGTAGTCAAATACAACGTAAAAAACGTTTTGAACGCGGATCCATTCCCGAGATCGTTATCCCGGGCTGTGGGAGCTGACCGTCTACGCCATGATGCTGAAGCCAACACCGTCTCCCTACAGACAACATCGTGAAGTCAGAAAAAAAACATGTCTGTTACCATCTCGCATCACGCAACTATGACATGAAAAAATTCCCCACACAGAAGGAAGGGTGCTCACCCTTACCCTACACGCCAAACGATATAAAATAAATGCGTTTGGAAACCTACGTTATTCTTCGACATCTCTGCAATTCGAATTTTCTCGCGCAAGAGATGCACAACGCAGGAATGACACCCAAGCAAACAACGTCATGAAAGGCGACAACAACTATCGAAAGAACACGAAATCTTACCGGACACCACTCGTCAATTACCCCGGTTTATGATGTTTGTAACACATACAACACGACTTCCGCAAAATTGCCTCGACGTCCTCGTAGTGGCGCATGTGGATTTCGCGCCCGACCCTCTCCCCCCGAAAAAAATAACCTGATCACCCGCCCATGCGCCTTCCCTTCCCGTTGCCCCCCCCCCCCCCCCCCCCCCCCCCCCCCCCCCCC